ATATATATATATATATATAGTCATATTTATAGGCTTATTATTTAATTACTTGAACATTATAATATGGCAATCCATAAATTTAAAAACAATTCAATTAACTGATGAGAAAAATGCATTTAGACATTCCTCACAAGCAGAAATGAAGAACAGTATATTTATTTCCACCAAGTGGAAGAAGAAACTTTTGCACTAGTTTGATGGACTTTTATAATGACTTCAACAGTTGATAGTTGACACGACTAACATGTGATGAACACTTTATTGGGTTAAGGTGTTGTAATTTGCATATAATCTTAAGAATAGTCAATCCTATCAAGGTCTGACACAATGCTGCATTTTTCTACAATAAAAATGAATCTAGCATATAGAGTTGAAGTGTTAGGACTAAAGTTTTTTCATCTTCACTCTTTGGTTATTCCAGAATCATAATTTTCAAGACACTGATGTTTCCTGCTCTGCATCTTCACTCACTCCTTGCTTACTGTCCCAATCATCTTTGGGCAGTGGAAGCATTTCATGACTATTGCCCGGTTCAGGACTAAGCCTTCTCTTGTGTTCTACAAAATATTGTGTGCAACTTTTAAAACTTGAGGAAAAAGAAATTTAGGAAAACATAGGAAATGGTTCAAAGAGAAAGATTACTTTTGCGTGTGATTGCTTGTCGAGTCATGGCCAAGAATTCATCCCATTTGAATTTGCTAAGTTCCCGCTTCTCATCCTCGGGAAGCTCGAAATTGGGCTCTCTCCCACACATGAAAGCAGCCCTGCAGATAAGTAATGAGATATATTCAGACTAAGGTCATGGTTGACCTGATATAGTAAATGAAAATTTGATCATTACAATGCCAAATCTCCTCATTTTGCAATGGTAGGACACATTCCATGTCTTTCAGGTTTTATACTCGTTTTCTTCATGTCATTCAAGTACTAACCATGTTTTCTTTTGAATATTAACAGTTTTATGGTAGCTAGCCAGCATAATGTACTTGTTACTGTGAAAAAGTTAATGTAAAATTGGAATTGTAGACCATATTCAAAGCAGCTTACACGATTTTGCATATCAGTTTAATAATATACATGCATGTGTAGAAATGTAAATGCATTCACCAAGTATTATTATTCAGACAAAGCCACACCCATTCACATGATTGTCAAAAGTAGATGGAAAAATGAAATTAGGATGGACCTACAAGGCTACAACAACAACCAAGTCTTTACATAGATTAATCAATATCACTGTGAACCATGCACATGCATACGATCAAAATAATATAAGTAGCTTCCCTACTTTTTAAGAATTAAAACTAAAGATTTCTTCAAATTGTTTAACACTGGAACATGTAAGAATGTTTGTCTGGACTCCTGAGGCAGTGTTATTAGCTCAAACTAAACTCTAAAGGAATAAAAATAATGGTTTAATAGTGATAAACAATCAGTGTAAAACAGTTTTATACTGTCATCTACTCACAATTCAACATAAATGGTAAGTTTGTTGACTTTTACATTAAATACTTTAAAAGTCATACAAATTTCTTAATGGTTGACTGTGTAAAACTTTTTATACTGACAATGCATCACTATTAAACCCTAAAATTAATGTGCTCAAAATTCAAAATGGGCTTTACTTTCAGCAACAAAATTCAATTCAGTACAATTATAATAAATAAAACTCCAAAAATATGACTATGAAGTGACAAAAAGATCATGTTAGGATATGGAAGAGAGAAGGAATACGGAATAGATAGAAAAAAGCAGCTCTAAACTGTACAAAGTAAAAGGTTGTTGGCACTCAAAAACAATGAGAACAAAACCAGATAACAATATAACTGAGGCTTTCCTATTCTCACTATGACTTTGAGGCATCCAAAGGGACTAGTGCTGGTAATAATATTCTATAATTTAAAGTACTACCTGTCATATAAGTGAGCAGCTTCTTCTTGTGACCCAACAGTCCCTAGGTGGATCTGTTTCTTGTCCACTTTGATTGCTGCTTGCCACTTCATATTTTTGAAGTAGACACCTCTCATTAAGCATGGTTCTTGATTGTGCAAATTCTTTCTTCTATGTCGCTTTCTGCGTTTAATAGGAGGTCCTGCTAAATGCAGGGTAAGAGAGGTAACAGACAATTAAGACATATATGAAAACCAACAGAAAATTCAATGGTAATGTTAAAAATATGAGAACAGTAAAATCTAGAGTTGTTTCACTTCAGAAAATATTTTCTATTTTAATTTCCTAATTTTTTTTTCACTAATAATTACAAAAATATTACTTTGTTGGGCCAGCCCAAAGATAATACTACCTAAACTTAAACTTAGGCCCATCAACAAAAAAATATTTGTTACTTATTTTTATAAAAGAAAAAAATCACATATATTAATAAAAAAGCCTCATGTTGGTAAAAATACCTAGGCTCATGATATATACACCTCTTTTTTTTTTATAAGCACACCTCCTTTTTTAAAATAAAATTATAAAATATTATATTTTTTTAAAAAAAATTTAATTTTACACTTTCAACTTTCAATTTGTTACTTTCTTGTTTTTATTCATACACTTTTTTTTTCTCTTTCAATTTTCACATGTTACCAAAATAGGTGAGGTGAAGGAAAAATAAAGGGGTGCATGTAAAAATTGAAAAAAGGAGGAAAGACGTGTGAAAAAAAAGTACTAAATTAAATATTGTGAATGTAAAATTAAAAATTTAAAACAAAAAATTAAGAATATTTTAAAATTTTAATTATTTTTTTTAAAAGGAGGTGTACTTATAGAAAAAAGGAGGTGTATATATCATGAACCAAATACCTAACGTAACCTCTCAAAATTTGCTTTAGGTCTTATTTATGGTTGGGCCATCCATGTAAAGACCATTATCACTTCATTTACTATTTTCAAATATTTTTCAAAGATATAGGGAAATTAGCATTCTATTATTTTCGTCAAACCTTGGAAATAACAATGTGGCACTTTTGTAATTATTATTAAAACAAGAAGTGAAAAACAACATTTTCTCAAACTAAACAGGTCCTAAATGCGTCCCTGTTGAATTCAAATAAATTTGCATCATAAGTTAACCATGACGCACCAATGAGAGCAAGGATCATGGACTGTCGATGAAAATTACATTCATTCAGTTAAAACACCATTTGATACCATGTAAAACAGACAGGGAGCACAAAGACCGAGGTCACATGCTAGAAGATCATAACTGGCAGCTTTAGTTAGTCACATAGGGAATATGCAGTCAGGATGTACATTAGAGGATTAATTACCTGTTCTTTTTGTTTTTTGTTTTGTTTTTTTTTTTTTTTTTTTT